TTATTTTCTTGTATAGGAAAAATTGTTCTCTGTGTAACCCTCAATTCTGTTTATTTCTGCAATGTACCTCCTTTTCCTTCTTCCGTAAAGATTATGATGTTTTCAATTTATCTTTAAATCTCAAGATTCCCTGCATCTTTATATGGTGTCATTTTCAGTTTTGAATTCCTCAGTGCTATCCCCATTGACAGGGTGAGGGCTATGGGCAGAGCTGAGGGGGCTGTGTCACCGAGTTAGAGAAGCTCTGCTGTTCTGTGTTGTGTGGAAGGCACCCAAATAGAAATCCAAGTCCAAGGTGGGAACAAAGACAAAACAAACAGATGAAGGTGAGAAGCTGCTACATCTGACTCCTTGTATAGCCTGTGCTGCCAGAGCACAGCAAAGAGGGATGCAGCCCATCTCTGCCTCACAGGCAGGGCTGTGCAGCACTGGGGCACTGAGGGGAAGGCTATCATAGCCTTTTTTCTCCTTATTTCTCTCTCCAATTCCTCCAGATCCGCAGGTCTGTGAACCTGAGGGAGGAGAGGGAAAGCTGCTGGTCCTGGTCAGAGAAGGAAGCAGAGAGAAGGAGCCCAGTGAGTGCTGGGGCAAAGGAAGGCAGAGGATGGGGGACAGCAGGAGCAGTGAGGACACACATCATCCATGAAGCTCACAGTTTGTGTTTGAGGTAGGAAATATGTTTCAGGCAAAGTTTTCAGTCCAAGTGTAGCATTGTCAACTTGTCTATGACCATGCAGCTACATATTTCCAGTCTGATTTGTTTTGTTGTTTGAGGGGCCTTTTTTTTTTTGAGGATGTAAGTAAACAAAAATATAAACCTTCATCTACATTACCTTTTTTTTTTTTCTTTTCAATGCTTATGTGAAGGGTTTGATCTAATATGTATATATGAGTTTATTCTTTATGTCTTTGTAGATTCAAAGAAAGAGCTGAGTTTTCTTTAGGGAGGAACTGAAACTTACTTGAAAGGAAGTGATAGATGTCGTTGGCTCATTGTTATCTTAAGCATTTCCCTTCTTTGTTGCACTGGAGATAGATGAATAGCTGCTATACATGGTCATACATGGCTCTGAGCTCTGGTTAATGAATTTTGGTAATTAAATCATTCAAGGTGTGATTGAGTCAAACTCCAGCAAAAGGGATTTTATTCTTTAAAGAATCTGGCAGGCATCACTTTCCTAACACTTTGTCGGCTTATCTGCTGTTGGCATCTTGGTCTTTTCCTCCCTACTGCTCCTCAATGACAATGGGTGCAGCAGGCATCAAAACCACCATCCTTTGTGCACAGAATATTTGAAGCTGTCTCTCAAAGGAGAAAGGCTCCCACACCTGTGCTGCAGATTGCAGGCTCATCTTTGTTTCTGAAATAACTCAGGAATATGTAGCTCGAATTCAGCCACACTTGACTGAGGCAACTGGTGGCTGCTGTAGGGGAGGGCCCAAACCAGCTGCCACTGCTGAGGGCACGGGGAGGGAAGGCAGCCACTGCTGCAGCTCTCAGCAGCAGGTGGCTGTCAGTCAGCCACACACAGCCCTAAAATTCTTCATAGGGTTGTTTCTCCTCTATCAGAACTGCCACAGTGCTCATACCTCAGGGAAAAGATGTGATGGGGGCAGGTAAAGAATGGTTAAAAACATGGGCTGCTGCTTGACATGGGCTCCTGCTTTCATCAGTTCTTCGAGCAGTGAAATGGTTCACACACACACACACACACACACACACACAAAGCTTTAAGCACACCCTGAAGTATTTAAGGCATTTACGAAAATCCAAAGCATCTTGTTCATTTCAATTACTTCTCCACCCACATTCCTCATTGAATTAAAGGATATCCTACACACTCTTTTGTTTCACTTATTCCCCAAAGATTGTTTCATCGTACACCGAGCAAGGATCTTCAGCATATTCATAGTAACGTCTCAGTCACGGCGTTCAGCATTATGATGTTCCTGGCACAAGGGATGTTATTAAAGGATTGAATAGATGAATAGATGGCAGATTTCCCCAGGGCAGCACATCAGAAAATGGACATCAAAAGAACCTGGCTCAAAATGCAGTGGGTATTACAGGCTCCTGACAAATCCCACTCATTTCTGAACAGTAACACTGTCAGGCTGTGTTAGGGACAGGTCCATCCTGGAATACCTACATAAAACTGTTTGCTTAATCAGGAAAAGCACTCCCATTTCAACACCCACCCCTCTAGTTGAAGACAGCATAATCTTCATTAGTCAAAAGTACTGTGGGCCCAAATCCAAATACAATCTTACTCAAATAATTACCAGCATCCCAAGGCTTAGGCTCTGTAGCTATCAAAATTACCTTTTTCTTCCACCATTTTTCATGAACCCACCTGGATTGCCCTAGAAACCCTGAATGTGTGAGTCTCTTTTACAGGACATGTAGGTTGTCACATATTACAAGTCATCTTCACAGACCCTGACAGGATAACAGGCCACAGTCTAGGACAGGAAATTTTAAAAATTTCTATTTCCTTTTTCACCAAGAACTGGTTGGAATTTATTTTCTTAAAGCTATTTCAAACCATGAGTAACAATTCCTGAGCAGGCACTGAGGAAGGAGAAGCACATATACTGACATGATGTCACCACCTGAATTATTCTGCTGAGATATAAAAATAGTTTGGAAGGCAGCACGGCCAAAATTACTATATCATTTAATTACAACCTGCTTTCATGACAGGCCATCAGTTAATTAAGAGTGTCAAAATGCTGAATTGCCTCCAGCTTCTACATGCTTTGCAAATGACATGGAAGTCATCTTTTTAAATAGCAACAGCTTAACTGAAAATGTAGAACCCATAGTGAAACGCTTTGAAAAATGAGGCAGTCAACTGAGCTGACCTGAAATTCCCCAAGCCATAAATTCACTAGGGAAGACAGTTATAACCCATTTAATTTACTCTCTGAAGATCCCATTCACATGACATCAAAACTATTTTTCTGAAATTGATATAATTTTGAAGTGTTATAAAACAGGAGCCTGAAGTGACTGCTCTGTGCAGGTACACACAGGGCCTGGCTCCAGCACCAGCACTTTCCTCCAGGCTGCTACAATACAGGCAACTGTAAAGCAGGAAAAGGGTTAGAAAAAAGGGTTTTTCCTTTAGAAATAAGTCACCTTCACTGATTCTCAAGTACTAAATGTGACATGAAAGAAAATTATCTGTAAAGGGAATAATGTTGCTATAAACTTAGAAAATGAAGGCATTTATTTACCCATCTGTTATATCTGATACCAAATCCCTTATTCTCTTTATAGAGCTATTTTTATTAAACAAATTCTTTTCTATGAATTATATAAATTTTGTATATAAGTTTTATATAAATTGTACCAAAGCAAAATAGTAAATTGAAAAGCAGGATAGAAAGGTCATGTTCCAAGCACCAAAGGATAAGAGTAGTACCCATGTGCAGAAAGAAGCCAAACATCTTGAAACTGAAACAAAACCAGACCAGTCCCTCTCCCTCATTCTCCCTTTGGCAACAAGGGGGTTCTTTCATTGGACAGACAGAAAAATATTGTTTGCTGGCTGGATTTTTCTTTTCTTTCAGGAAAAATGAATGCTTCACACTGGGAAAAAAAAAAACCTGATGAGCAAACATCTCCCCCTATAGTTTGCAAGAAGCTGAGCATCTGAAAAATAATAACTACAATCCTGTCTCTTGGCTGAATAAGGCAGCCAAGCCAAAACTGAGCCAGGACTTTATGTAGTATGGCAACATGGAAGTGGATGCTATAGGAGAGTGTTTGAATAAAAAGTATGAGGCTACAAGAAAGAAATCTGATAATTCAGAATTGTGGTAGGCTCATGGTTTCATGACTGTGGCAGTGTCCAAGTGATTAACAAATTCAGGCTTGGGAAAGACAGACTGAATTTCAATATCATTTACGTGAATTATATTCATGTGTGGGAGTAAGGGGAGTGCATTAGGCCTGTAATATATGCAATAGGCAAAGAACTTCAAATACTAGAAAGAACTGAATGTGCTTTCTAAGGTGACTTCAAAGTGCTCCCTACTACTAAAGACTTTGTTTGAGAAAATATTTGAGCTTGGTAAAAATGCTGTTTAATCTAACAGGCCATAAAAATGAAAGCTGACCAGATGACAAACACCTCAATGCATCTTTCACAGAATGGTGATTATTCAACGATTTTATGTCTGTTTCAAAGGCAGTATGTGTGGGATGGATCCTGTCATCCATCATGCTGGGACATTGCTGCTGTTTCTGTAAGGAAGAAGCCTTGAGCCCTGTAACTGGACTTTACTGCCATTCACAGCTACTGCTGCCATTAATTTTACAATGCCCATGGAGGTTTAAGGTAAAGGGACATGTTTTATTCAGTGTTTTTACAGAGAACAGTCTAACAAAGGAGTTAGTATCCAGCAAGGCCCATTACACAATACAGTGATGCAACATTAATGGAACATTGTGTTCTCCTCTGAGCACTCATGTTCTGTGTTTGACAGGCAATCCTTGGGGTCCAAGCATGAGCCCAGCAGTGGCTGGGATGGCATTGCCTCCAGCCCCTTCCCCTAATGGTGGAAAATATCCCATTGCAGTTGCAGTTGTACAAGCTTAGCAAATGCTTCACATACCAGCCTCTGCTGGCCTCCTTGTTCATGGAAACATACTTAAAATTCCCATTTGCCAGGTGTGGGGTTAGACATGGACTGGATGAGTCTAGAATCCTGCAGACACTGGGATGTGGCAAGGGGGGTGAAACTGATGGTGATCTTTAATGTCCCCTCAAAACCATCATGATTTCTTATAGAGATTAAGTCACAAATATTGAGTGAAAGGAACAATAGTGTCACTGGTTTTATGTAAAGATCTCTGACTAAATACAACCACTAGTTATTCTAGGCAGGCATTCCCACTTCCCACTGGTTCATTCCTCATTCACTAGTCCATATGAGGGGGAAAAATACTCAAACAAACAAACAACAAAAAAAGTCTGAAACACACATGCTCATCTGGATCATGTCATTTATTGAGTCAGCAGCGATGGCAAACGGGGAATCAATCGGCCTTACCGTCACAGGCAAACCCAGCAGCAATGCCATGGAAGTGCACACACACTCCTCTGCTTGTCCCATGACCTCCATGGCTCTGCTGGAACCTTCCTGTTCTCCTGGCACTGCTCTGCCTTCTCTGCAGTGTAGCAACTCCCTGCTCAAGCAAAAAGACATGGCTTCACTGGGTGTAATTAGGCCTATAAAAAACCACCTCGGGCTTATTTATGCCTTGCTAAATCACATGATTGAGATTTTGTGGAGTGCTGTGAGTCAGACTCTTGGGAAGGCCTGACCAGCTATTTCCTCAACATCTCAGTGAGAGAGGTCTCTGTGTTGTTCATGTTTGTAGCTCAGCAGTCACTCAGATAAATGCTTCGAGTTTGCTAAAAAAGGCTGGTACCCCATTTCAAAGTGCCAGAACCCTTGCAAACAATTTTGACTATGATACAGAACTAAACAGGGCACAGTAAATAACAGAACATACATCAAGAAGCTGCACTTTTGGGGGAGAGAGTGAGGGGTGAAAAAGAAAAATGCTCTTTGGCATCTCTGACATCTGTCTTATTTTGCTTTTATCAAACCAGAGAGACATTCCAAGTATAAAACTTGCAACAGGATTACTTAAATATGGTAGGAACAACTGTTAAAGCTTATTTTTATTGTGCAAGTAGACCAATGCATGTAATTCCTCCTGCAGTAATTTTTCATGGGGCAGGAGTAATTGAGGACAAGTATTTAATCACCTCTCTCTTATCTTGGCTTATCTAAGTGTTAAGATAAAAGGGCAAAAATCGAACCATGGCAGATCTCATACAAATTTCAATGCAGATTAATGTCTCAATAGAGAAACTAATAAAAATAATTGCTCACCATATTTATTCAATGCAAGTGAATTCTCGTTCTGAGTAGTCACTACTTTCCTTTTTCCTTTTCCAACAAATACTGGCCATCCTGAACCATAATGAACATGAGGCCCTGAGCAGTCTGAAAGTATCAGCACACTGTGATGCAGTCAAATTCAGTAGTCCTGTTTCTCAGACAATACCACAGCTACAGAGAAAGGAAGATGACAGAAGTGCAGTCACACAAAGGCAAACTCAATGGGTGAACATTCCTGATGATGCTTCTGTGAGCCACTGAGGAAATGGAGGTAGAAGACACCTAAACGTTTTATTACAGTTTACTGCAAATCCATGAGGTGCTTGTGCAGATAAAACCAGTAAGACTGTGTGCATTTTTCATGGAAGAGCTTCCATCAGTTAAGATGCTAATGATGTTTGTCTGCTTGTAGCCAAAGAACAAGCAAGCTTGTTCAAAGAACTCACCAGGTTCTCAGGGACCCAGACTGCACTATAAAAATCCCCTATAATTTACAAAATCATCAGGATAGAACATGTATTCCACTAGAAACAATAGCTAGATTATCCCTTCAAATCTGACTATAGCCTTTAAAAGAAAAAAGAGTGTCTGGAATATTTTTATGGAAAACCTATTTCAAGGTTCTCAGGAGAACTGAGCTGGAAAAATCACCGTGTAATGGGATAAACTATTACAATTTCAGGGCTGCAAGTGGCCAACATGATTTCTCAGTGCACACTGCCAATGAAAGCAACTCTGTAACTCAAAGGGCAGGAGAAGAGTTAGAGGCAATAATATCCCTGTGTTCAAAAGTTAATAATTTACAACAACACTGAAATCATGCTGCTGAAAGGTGATATAGTAAAGACTAGAAAATAACACATCTCCTGTTTTTCAGAAGACTGACATCATTTTTGTCTCAAAACAGAAGGAAGGCTCAGCAAATTGCTCAAATATCCATCAGGAGATTGTGAGAAAACCTGATTTCTTTCAGTCAAACTGTGGAAGCAGGTTGTGGGAAACTTAGGACATACAGGGAAGAAATCCTTATTCAAAATAAAAATTATTTTAGGCTGTATTTGCATTCTTTCAGAAGCATGCAAAATGTCACTAATTACAAGTGTCAATCACAGAGCAGGCCAAGTCTCCAGCAATAGAGCAAAGGTTTCAAAATGAACAGAGCAGGAATTCAGTTGCATTGTTACTCCCTGGAGATTATAGCAATGCTGTAAGCAAACTAGAGTTATTTTCAATTCAACAACATGTATCAGAAACCATTTAAAACTAGATCTTGTGACAAAAGTGGAAATTCCATATTAAATACCTCAGTCAGTTAAATTTAAAAGTGATTTTTAGTGAACATAGAACCTGCAGCATGAAACATCAAAACTTCAGCAGCTTGCCCCAGTCAATCAGTGTTTTCCTAGGAGGAGACATGCAGGACAGGCTGACAGGGGCTGTGCAGCTGTGGAGCAGTGGGGTGGCTGGGGCAGAGGGCATTGAGGCCATGCTGGGCTGCCCATGGTGCAGGCAGAGTGAGCTGGACAGAATCCTCATTTCACAACAGAAAGTTCAGAAACTGGAGGGTCTGACAGCACCATCACCCAAGGCTTCAGTATGGCCAAGGCTCCCCTTCCCAAACTCGGGGTGACCCTGGCAGCAGCAGCACAGGCTGCCCTGCAGTGCCTTGCCAAAGGCCAGCTCAGCCCAGCCTGGGAGGCTGCTCTGCTGCTGGCCATCCCCACCCAGCCTGCCTGCAAACACTTCCTCTCAGGGGTTAACCTTCATCTCCCAGGAATTTCAAGCTCAGTGGGAACAAGATGGGCTCCTGTAGCTTCAGAGCAAGCTGGTCCAGCTGACCTCAGACATCAGTTTGGGAAAGCAAAGGAAGTGAAAGCCTTGCTCTGCCGGCAGCAGAAAAGCCAGAGATTAGTGAAAGCTTTTCAGGGAACTTCACTCTTGCTGTGCAAAGGTCTGGCATCCTGCTGACAGCTGCTGGGATTTTACATCTTCACTTACCTATGTCAGGCAATAATTTGCATTGCTTGGAAATTTCCAGCTTCACACATGGCCTCAAAATGAGATCTGCTGTTCTCAAAATGTTGTTTGTGCCACACTTCCAATGTCTGTAGAGAGAGCTGGTCTCACACCACTGGCTCTTCTTTGTCAGCTAAGTTGCATTAGACAGAATCTAAAAATACATTAAATACTTTCTAATATTACTTTTTGACATAAGCAGTTACTATAGCTGCAACAAGGATGTTGCAAGAAAATGCATGAGGGTTGCATAACTCCTTTTATTCAGCAGGGAAATGTGCACTGAAAGGTCAAAAGGCCTTGGAATAAGGTTTTTTGTTTCTATGTTTGCCTTAGCATTCATACTTCAACAAAAATATCACAAACAACTTCAAGACCTCAAATGAGCACTTGATCTCCTTTTACTTCAAAGAAGAAACTAATTTAGCTTAGCTACAAAAAAACCTACCTGCAATGCAAAATTCAAGGAGATGCTGTCTAATATGTGAGAATCTGACAGGTAACAGTTGACAAAAAAGCAGCATCTGAGCAAGCTGGGGGTCTGTTGCTTAGTGAGAGGGAATTCAACAGCTCAGAGAACCCACCAAATACTATGTGTTTATCACACAGAAGTAGTTTTTTATACCAATTGCACAGAGATGTAGCTCTCTCAAGAAAATCCAGTTTGATATTCATTAATTTACAAAGCACATAGATGAGGCAGAGCAGTACTCCTGAAATAAAGGCAAACCAAGGCCCTGGAAGATGTACAAGTCTGTTTTTTCTTGTCCTGTAACAGTGGTGGATGTGAAATGAAAGCCTCAATAACCCTGCTCTAGATACCAACCCAAGCTTCCACCCAAACATACCAAGACTACCAATTTTAGAAAAAATGTCTTCTCTTGTTCCCCAAATCCTAGATTGATACTGCAGCCCTCACATTTCTGGATAAATCCATTAAGTTCTTCAGTGTCTGCAAACTGGTCTTTAAAAGGGAGGGATTAAAAAAAAAATTAATGGGAAAGCAGTTAAAGGCAAATAACCATTCCCTGCACTTGTGCTGCCACTCCTGTGAAGCTGCTATGGCTGCTGTTCTGGTAAGCTTCTCTTCTGCACCACTTCATTTGCTCAAGTACAAAACAGGGATCATTTCATTAGTGAAATCTGGATCCCCACAATAAAGACTGCTCACTTTGTTGAACAAACTAGTATTGCCTTTGAATAATATGAGCAGACTGATCCTCAGTGCTAGTGGAAGAATTCATTCACCTCCAGCTAAGGGGCACTTTGCTCAGCCCTCTGTGAATCCCTACTGCCCAGAGCTGCATGGGTGCTGATTCCAAGGAACCTCAGGATCCTTCCTAGACCTTCCTCAGTAGAGTATCTCATTTATAGTACAGCCTTACTGTGCTTTTATGGCTTCCTGCTAACAAATACACTGGTCAATCAACCCACTGCTCACTAATTAAATCAGCTGTAAGACCTCCAGAGCTCATTTTGTACACACCAAATCCAAAACATTATTTGTGAAGATCCTGGCAGAAGGGAGTTCATAGCAACTCCTAGTTCCCATGGAAAGTTGACAAATATGAGTAGGTTATCAACATATTTCCACAGCAGTTCTAAATTCATCCTTATCATTCCTGTGCACTCTTCAACTATTGCTATATAACAAAAGCTAAAAATAAAAAATCCAAGGTCTGTATTGTCCCTTTTATATTAACTCTTTCCAGCTACAAACATTCCCAGCTGTAAATTCACTTTGTTCTCCAGCTCTGCATGGGAAATCCAGCCCCACAGCCTGCGTTGTAACCCTGGCATCCATCACACACAAGCATTTTCTCTTTCACAGAGAAAATCATGAAACAATTGCAGGTTTTTACAGACTCCTCTCCTGTCTCAGAGAAGCCAGCCAGACCCAAATTTCCCAGTCATAAACCAGGGAACTACACAAATGCACCAGCAGCCAGGGCAGGAAGGGAAGGTCAGTGTTTGCTGTCTCACACATTTGCCCATTCTTTGATTTTCACTGCTCGAGCTTGGATTCCCTCACATACAATCCAGGAGATATTTTGATTTCCTTTCTGCTCCATCTCCCTACTTTCCAGGCACTGCTAAGTTATTTAACATGTCAGTAGCATCAGCAGTATCTTTAATACATCAGCAGAGCTAAGTAGTGAGCAAGTAAGCACAAGGGCTTCAGAAGGATGGTGGTTACCATGCTCCAAGCCAAGCAAAGAACTTAGTGTTCACCTTTATGAGGGGAGTTTTTATTTACCAACACTCCCCAAAACTATTTTTAGTAACCTTGCATTTCCATCAGCATGTACAAACACTGTTTGTGTTATACCATGAATAAATACAGAAGAAAAAGAGCTTTTCCCACAACAGCCTTTATGGGCTACTTTTAATTAAAATCAGTTTAATGATTGATAAGCTCTAGTATTTCCAGCAGCAAATCATAAGTGGTTGACTGTTTCCAGAGGCAGTGAAAAAAACTGAAGCTAATATAACTACATAAGCTAGCATAGTTAGTTGGTTTACTGGTTGTCAACACAGGAAAAATTTGAGGGTTTAACATGTAAATTCAAGAGCAAAAACTAAATCAGTATTTTGTAGGAATCAGAAAGTTCAGCTATATAAACTGAGGGAATCATTGTTTCCAAGGCTTACTTTTAGTCTCTCACAAAATTCCTTTTGACATATTCCCTACATCAGAATGAACAAGCAGGAATTTTCAGTATCTGATTAGTATTTAGGAAGAGGATGTCCCATGTATCATTTCTGTGCAGTTGCTACCAGGAAAGGTTCTTCACTTGTGCCTCTTAAGCAAATGGAGGAACACTGCAAATCCCTGTGGCCTCATGTCCTTCCTCTGCTCCCTGGGCTCCCACAGGCAGCAGAATGCAATTCCATGTGCCTGAGCACACATTTGTGGAGACAACCCCTCCTTAGAAACAGAACCAATCATCTGCAGCTGATCAGCCACACAGAAAATAGGAGTGAGTATAGGGAGTGTGAAATCCTGGAGCTCTACCAGGACCCTCCCTAGCCCCACATCTTCCTTGGTCACCAAGAATGCAGGGCTGTCTCAGACAGCTGCTGCATCCACCTGCCTTCCTCAGCCAGTGCTGGTGGGAGGAGCACACAACACACAGGAGGGAGCATTTCCTCTTTTGTACTGTTATTTTATTTTGTAGTAAGATCCACGTAGTATATAAAATATAACAGGAAAAACTGAACGAAGCCTAGAAAATGAACCGAGGAGTTCAGCTGCCAAACCACCACAGCTCTACTTCCCTGGGTTCATGAAGTCTCCAGAACTCATGGACTGTTTGCTTGTACTATTACAGTTCTCTAGCATATGAGCCTACACCAAAAGCTGATATGTTCCAATTAAGCCATAGTTAAGTGACAGATGTAGAGGAAAATAAAAACAAAGTGGCTTTTGTAAGCCACAGCTGCCCTTGACAGAGGTTACAATGATGTCTAACTACTGTAATGCACATTACATCAAGAACCTTGAAAGAGCCTCTGAGAAAACGGCTTCACATTAAGCATTTTAAAGAAAGGTCATAAATACTGCACTGTACCAACAGTACCTCCCAATGTCCTCCTTATGCCTGAGGAGCATTTGTGTTTTGTAAGAAGCTACTACATAGATGACACCAAACCTAGAGGTAGGTTATAGGCCAAGGTAAGTTACAGGCAAAAAAAAAAAAAGAAAAAAAGAAAAAATCCCTTTAGAGCTAGTCACTGCACAGACTGCCCAGCAGGAAGCAAGGCAAAGTGTCAACAACTCTTTCCTCCCACCCTAAACATTGTTCACACAGTGCATTTAGTTCCTAGTGCCCTAAGAATGAGAGTGGACCATCAGCTGCTAGTAAATGCAGTCATGCCAAGAGAACAGCTTGAAGTTATTCAAGCAAAAACCTGTTACTGTGCAAAACTGGTGCACTGGACCGTTACCAACCAGACCTGCAAGCTTAGCAAGTGACCCAACAGTAGAGAACCAAGGTGTTTTTCTTTTGACTGGAAATACTTTAGTAACCAACAGGAGAACATACTGCTGAGTCTACATGGAAGGAGTCAAATATCAGCTTGTATCAAAACTTTTAAAGACAAAAAAAAATTGAAAAAGGTTTAAAAAAAGCACACTTTGATGAGACCAAGTTTTTAAAAAGTTCCTGTACCAAACAAGCCGCTAGAACAGCTCATCTCCCCTAAATCCTGGGATCAACACAAGGTTGATAACAAATGTATGTACATTGAGAAACACACCTGCAAGTACAATAGTTACAGCAAATTAACCCCAAGTTTTAATGGTGTATGTAATGCCTTCAGGTCACAAAATGTGGACAAAACGTTCATCTTAACTCCCTCTGTGCACTATTGGTGATAATCAAAGTAATGATGCTGAAGATTCATTTTATTTCTACTTCCAAAGGAAAAGGGTAAATGGTTAAATATGTGTTGTCCAATTTGTTCTCCACTATACGTACACCCACACACATACACACACCCCTCAAACTGCACTGACATTTCTTTTTGACCAAAAGAGTAGATCCTGGGAGTAAGTGCAAAATGCAAAATCAACTGACAGAAAATGCTGAACAAACAGCATCATAAAAATACAAAATATTTATATTACTGAACTATTAACAGATGATGTTCTCTGTTTCTTTAAAACTTTGGAACCACATAGCTGATTTCTTAAATCTAGTCCATGCCAGCTTCCAGAACTATTAATGTTTTAGTTAGCTTCATTCTTTGATGCTTCATCAAAATTTTCTACGAGATCTGAAAAAGATGAAGATATTTAATACAGTAATGCCCAGTAAGATTACCTTTGTAAGTTTAATGAAAATGCATATAATTACAGGAAAGGTTAAGTAATACTTAATTACACTTAGGGAAACCATGTCTTTATGGGCAGATTTCAAAGGACTTTAGAAAATATTGTTTGTTTAAACATACACAAAGAACTAGAAATGCAGAAACACGCCAACAATGAAAATTCTAACATTAAGTGATTAAGAGCTGATTTTCAAAGGTGCTGTACTAGCTGCAGTCAAGTTTTGAGCATCAGCATTCTTTAAAAAATGCCTGCCATTTTAGAGAATTGAATTTTATGCAAGGTCACAAAGAAATAAACCAGTGCCAAGGCAGGAGGAATTCCATCTCTGGTACACCCATTTTGTTTTAGCTAACACACCATCCCAAAGGATACAGTGGAATGTGGTTATTGATAAAATAGTTATTCACTGACAAATAAAGAACTTGTCATATTTACTTCCAGACACACTGGCATAAGTCCTTTTTCTTCTGCTGTAGAAATAAAAACTCCCACTCCAGACCCTGATACAAAAACAACCTGGTAACTATGCCAATTATGTCATTTTGCAGTCCTAAAGCCCTGTTTGGATATTTAGATACCTGTTCAACCTCACTGAAACTACTTCAACCTAGTTTCAGTCAGTAATTAAGGTAGTTGCACAAGGTAATCTACTTCTCAAAAGTTGGAATCCCAAATCATATTTTAATGCTGTCCTATATAAGAAACCTCCTTCAGCAAATGAGGAGTATGATCACATCAAAAGCTACATATTTAAATGAATGAATCAGAATATTTATATCTTAAGTGGACATAAAAGTGTCTATGTGCCTACCTGGGACATCATCATCTTCTTCATCAATATCTTCAGATTTTGGCGCTTTACTATCCAACACTATAAAAAAAATTTGGTGCTGAGTTCTCATAATACAGAATCAGGGACACTTACACAACAAAATAAAAACCATAGATGTGAAAAAAGCAAGCACTTCCTCAATCCCCAGTAGTGACAAACACAAATGACCAGGTACTGAGAGTTACCAGCATGACCAAAAGGCTTCCTTGGGGACATTCTGACAGCAAAGCATTAGCAGAGCCATCTTCAGATGCTATGGGGTATTCATCAAGAGTTTGGAAAAGATCAAATTATACAGAAAAAACCCAGCATGACTCAATCTTCTCAGTGAAGTCCCATGTTTCAATGCAACAATAATATGGCACCAACCAGTGCCCAACACATCATTTGAGTCAAATATGCTTATGATGATCCATCTCTCTAAATTTTAGAAGATATTTTATGCATTACTAAAGAAGAAAAACCCTTAACTTTCACTTAAACTCTGAACATGAATGCTGGAGTAATTAAAACTGATTTAAAAGGAATAACTGTGTGTTGAAAACATTAGAACAGGTGATGTATATTCCATTCCAAACACAGACAACTGCAACACATCCAACTACAGTCATCTTAATGGCCATATCAGCCTAACTGGAACTGTACCTGATCTTTATTCTTAATTGTAAAATTACAGTAATAGTTATACCAAATACACCCTTCCACCCATGCTCCCAAGGTTTTAAAATTAATAGAAAATAAAGAATCATATGCATAACTGTAATTTTGGTTGGTTTTTTTTGTTTGTTTTCCATGAAAACTTTGATTTTTAAGTAACTTTTTTTTAAGCCTTGCTTGGATTCCAAAGAGAATTGTAGAGCAGAAGAACATATTGCTTCTTCTACAATTGCAACAGAAATATGTTTTGTATGAACAAAGAAAACAGAATAAATTCCCTGACAGAATGAACTGGTTAACTTTTTCCAAGTAAAAACTTGTTTTCCCCTAAACATTCTGCCATACACAGCTGTACACCTGCTACCATAGCATGCCAGACTTACCCATTTCTTTTAAATTAGGGCCTGCCTATGTAATCTTGAATCAACAAAGATAAAAAGAAAGTTCTTCCCCCACCCTCTTCTCCCACAGCAGTGGCAAATAAATAAAAGCACACACACTTCTGACTTTGTAAGTTGTTGTTAAGTTTGGGTTAAACTTTCAGTAGTTCATGTATCCTTTAAGTGAGCTGTGGAAGATTCCAAAAAAACCTACCTTGTCTTGGGAATTGTTCAGCTAACTTCCTGAGACTTGTTAAGCTGTCAGCACCAAGCTGGCTTAAGATGCCTGGAAGCATTTCTGTGATCGGTTTAGCCTCTGCATGACCAGTAATTGCAAAAGTGTTGGCAGAGAGGGAAGCCTGAACCTTGGGGTTGTTGAAGTGAATAACTGTTCCATCATCTTTTATCATGTTCACCTGTTTAAATAGATTAATAACATTTACCTAAGTGTTGTAGCATCTTGTTACACAAGCATAATAACTAAAATTTAGATTTGAAATATCAAAATTACAGAACTAGCACTCCTCCTAAAGGATAATATAACCATGATAAAAGCACCTGGAGTTAACAGCACCTAAATTCAAAGCTCCAACCTTGCCACATCAGGCTAAGCCACTGCCTTTCACAGGTGCCTGTGTCACCTACCAGGAAAATGTTCCTGCTTCTTCCCAGCTGGCACAGGGCAGGGATGCACACCCAGCTCTGGGGGATCAGGAACCAACTGCACTGAACACACTTCCAGTGCCTTCCCAAGCATTCCACAAGGGCTCTCAAGACTGAGGACACCACCCAGTGATCCTGCTCTCCTTCCCTGGCCTTCGGAATCACTGAGAACCTTACAGCCAGTGTAGTGGCCTGCTTTGGAAAGCTGAAAAGCTTTTTTTTCTAGGGATGGATAAACTATTGTGCAAAAATCATTGTCTGACTGTAGGAAGAGAGTTCTACCCATCCAACACAACAGTGGTATTAAACTTACATGAAAAAATTATTAAGCAATGTTTCTAAGTTACAAGAAATAAAGAGGGATTCAGAACTAAAGATGAGATCTGAAGTACAGAAACATCCAAGTTCTCAATCCTCACACAGCAGCAGAGTTCCAAATATGTTTTGAACAGGAAATCCAGGTGTGTTGCTTTCCTACAAAACTAAGCAATATCCTGTCCTTTGCCCATGGGGAAATGGTAAAGGCTTCAAGCACAGTTATCATCCTGTTACTTAAGAGCCTCTTTCAAAATGACACAAATGTGTTACTCATGCTTGACTCAACATGACTCTTCTGGCTGCACGAAGCTTACCAAGGTCAACCTGCGTTCACTTGAATAAAACATTCCCCAATTATGTCTCTTGCTATCAAGGTAGAAACATTTTGCATCATCTTCCTACACTGAGATATTTAAATTCCTTAATAACTGTGTCTCAATAAAGATCCTGTGCTCTGGATCTTTATTCTTTTGTATACAGAATAAAAATTTAAAAAAAAAAAAACTTGAACATACACTAAGAACTGTGCCTTTCTTTAGTTCATATAGCTCTGCATATTTGTATTAAGCTTAAGAAAACAGACAAACTGAACTGTTTCTGTACCAGAGGTCTGAAAACTTAGACAAACCTCACTGAATCTGCATTTGCCTTTGGAAGGGAGGAATGCACTTAGAGACTTCTGCATGCACCTTGCAATCCTGCTTCAATTAATTAATCACAGATTAAATACTGCACTTCTTTAACCAAGCAGTGCAAGTACTACAGCTCCACTGAGCTCACAATGGAGAAACCTCCTCCTCTTCCCATGCATAAGGGTCACTCCCTACACTGTTATGGAAAACATGTTTTATTAATACATGTAAATTAGAGGGATTCAAGAAACACCTGAAACCTTCACATTCCCACTTACATTAACACAGAAGCTGTTTCTGTACAGTCTCTGCAGTGCTTTAAAAAACATTTCCTGGAACTACTGCAAACAATTCCAGCAATTTTTGTGCAGTAAAAGGTCCTAATTTTAATAATACAGACTCAAGCTCTTACTCAAGGAGTTTCTAAACCTTCCTTTATACTCTGCACCACACTTGCTCTGGATGTGCCTGCACAGTTCTTGTACATTTCCTGCTCTTCCCTTTAGAGCAAGTTCACAGAAGTCGAGAATGAAGAGAAATTTTGTTCTGCAATGAATGCTGACACACAGAGCTTATGACCTCCACCACAGACTGCCTGGCCAGCAGAACCTCCACCTTTCCTTCTCCAGGCACATACACATTTATGCCAATGAGGCAATGATACATAATACAACATTACCTCTCAATAACCAGATCTCTATGGTTTTGCTTGGAAGATAAAACCGTTGTCAAAACTAAAAGCAAACCCACCACACCACCACAAAAACAACAGAGTGAATTTAATTTCAAACAGGACACACTGATGTTTTCACTCTACCTCTTCAATGCCAGCAATGTTATTTACAGCCAGTTTTTTGAGGGAACTCTGAAGTTTTTTGTCATCAGCTGTAGCTGTTCTGTGGACCACCTTCTTCTTTCTGCGAGCTGTTCCCTGGGAAGAATCAAGAGACAACAGTCAGCTCTGCTCAAAATCTCACAACAGTAATTGCAAAAGTCAGGGCACAGTCTGAGCAACATCTTTCAAGTCATGAGACATTTCTATAGACAAAAACGTTTCTCAAATTATTTCCTTTACCTACAGCTTTGGCCATCGTTCCCAATTATAAGTTTTTTCTTAAGCATAAAGACCAAAGAAATACCAACCAGCAGCATATTTTCCCTTCCACTAAACCAGACTACAAAAATCCTACTTAATATTAAGCAACACATAAAGAAGTTTCCCCAAGATATTTTTTCCAAAACAAAGCACAAATACAGTGATTTAAATAGCCCCACTTTGGCAACCAAGTCATTAATGCTTTCAGAGTGTTCCACAGACAGCAATTCTGGAACTCCTGCTTTGCAAACTTTTGTACAATCACCCCTACAACAGGGGATGAGCACCCACACTGAACAAATTACATGTCTTTTTATTGGTCACATCAACTACCCACTGGAGCTCAGAGAAAAGAAACAGCTCAGTGCACAGCCAGTGCCTGGAGCAGGCACAAAGAAGACAATCCCCAGCAGGATGACCATAAAGGCAGAACTGGAACACCCAACAGGTGAGATTAGCTGAAGCTTTCACAGGTCACAACAAGTCACTGAATTAAAACAAAGCTCGCACACTGGAAACTGCTCATCCAGCCACTGTGAACTGAAAGAAACTTGCATTTCAGGTAGCTGCACTGGAGGCCAGATCACACAAAACCTGTATTAGTCAAGCCTGAGCATAATTTTTTCTTTTCTTTCTATGAACTTCAGCCTATACTTTCAAAAACATCTCTGGTGGTTTTCTTACCTTTCCTCCTATTCGGACCTGTGCTTGAAGCTTGGCCAGTTTTTCTTGGTTCATAGTGCTACGTCTAAACAGCAAAAACAAGTTCAACTTAACATCAAAACAGTAACAAAAAAGTCACAGGCCATTTTAAGAGTATTTTTATAATTACAGCTAGTTTTTCAATCTTCTAGAACATCACCCAAAACAGTGTGTCAAACAAACACACAAAAACGCAGCTTTAAAGCCACCCCACCTAAGCAATGCACAGTAGTCCTGCAGTACGAAGGACCCACGTTTAGCTCAAGTGTTGTGCCACGATGAGGCACAGATTCCACAGGACATTTCATTCTGCATCAGGCCGAGGCACTCATTTCCAGGATGCCAGTTTACTGCTGGAAGTATTTAAATGAATTACAGGCTCCAACCAGACCCAAACCAGCACATACACCACAACTGGTCTGGGAAAACACCTTATCTTTACGAGGGTCCAGGGACACAGTCACCACTGAACTACGTGGGATAGTTTTCATATAATGAATCTCTGATACTTATGACTAATAAGCGAGATCCAAACTCTGCGAAGTTCGTGTATGGACATATTTACTACATGAACCTCTGGTAGCTTTTCATCCAATACAGCGACTGGGAAGTTTGTCCAGTGCTTCTCCCACGGGTCTGGTGGGACCTTTAAAGGATGAAAGTCCTGAAAACCCATAATGGGTGAAAAAACGCCTCAAGTCTCCCCGCAAAAGGAATGCATTTCGCTGCTCTGCCCCAGAAAATCATCAGAGATCCTCGGAAATCTCCGCATGTGCTTC